AAGTCTCACTGCCCAGGCGGGTCTCGAACCCGCGGGCTCAGGCAATCCACTCACCTCAGCCTCCCAAAGGCGCGGGATTACAGGCTGAGCCACCGAGCCCAGCTTGATTGTTTCTTTTACTTTACAGAAGCTTTGCAGTTTGATAAGGTCCCACTTGTCTATTTTATCTCTCATGGCATGGGCACTTGGGGTTTTGATTAGGAATTGGTTGCCAGTTCCAATTTCCATAAGGGTGTCTCCTGCCTTTCCCCTTCCTATTCTTAAAGTACATACTTGCTTATTGGGCTTGGGGCAGCCCTAGGATTTTCCAGGCACCCTCTCCCCGTTTTACTGGAGGAGGGCCGCACACCATTCTATAGCACCATGTGCTTGAGCACTCCTTGGGGACCAGACACAGGCATTCCCATCTGGGTCTTCCAGTCTCCCTAGAACATATTCGACCCAGTGCATGGGACAATGTAGCATTTCAACTGTTCCTTTTCCCAACATTTTTTGGGAATCCCTTTGTGGATTTTTTTTTTCCAGGATCAGTTAATGGGGGCATACCAAATCATTCTGTAGTCATCTTTATTACATCAGTTAGGAAAACACCTGACCGCAAGAAGCATAAAACCAACTGTCGTGGCATAAACAAATAGGGGGTGAATTTTTCTTTCATTATAAGAAATCTGGAGGTAGATAGCCCAGGGCTAGTGTAGCTTTGAATAAATAACGTCCTTGGAGACCCAGACTTGCACTCTGCTTTTGCCCTACTCCCCTTTGTGTGTTGACTTCCTTTTTTTTTTTTTTTGAGTTGGCGTCTCACTCTGTCACCCAGACTGGAATGCAGTGGCCTCTCCGGCCACGGCAGCCTCCCTGCTGGGTTCCGGCGATCCTTCCGCCTCAGCCTTTCAAGTAGCTGGAACTACAGGCGCACGCTACCACGCCCGGCTAATTTTTGATTTATTGTAGAGATGAGGTCTCGCCAAGTTGCCCAGGCGGGTCCCAAACCCGCAGGCTCAGGCAATCCACTCACCTCAGCCTCCCAAAGGCGCGGGATTACAGGTTGAGCCACCGAGCCCGGCTACGTGTTGACTTCCATACTGCGCATGTGGCCTTGGAATTACAAGATAGCTCTGCAGCTCCAGGCAAGATGTGGACTTTTCAGGTGGAAAGAAGGGGGACAGGCAATGGAAAAAAAAAACAAAAACAACTCTCCCAGTCGCATCTGCCTCATAACATCAGAAATCAAAAGCCTTCCCCCCAATTCCCACTGGGTGGACCTCTGCTTGAAGCTCATGGGTAAACACTCTAGCCCATGGCCAGTCCTAGATGGAAGGTGGCTGAAGGGAGGGGCTTATCCATCAAGATATTTCCCAACTTTTTTCTTTTTAAATCTATCTCATTCACTACCTAACTTGGATCCCAAATCCTCTTGATTGCTTTTGGAAATTAAAACTATGCTCAAAGATCAAAGCTATCTTCTCACAAGAAAACTCCCAAGAATGTGCCATAAGCTTCAAGGCAGGTCCCCAAAACAAGTTTCTGAAATGTTTAGAACAACAGAGTAAATGTCCATCCTCCCAAGAGGACTCTTTGAAGCCGAACATACACATTTGGTTACATTCCTTCGAAAACCCGAAAACCTGTCCCTGTCCTGACAATCCGTTCACACTTGATACAGTGACGGGCAAGGATCCAACAGTCTATCCACCTACCGCATCTCCTCGGAGCCTCTGTGCTTGCTTCAAGAGCCGCCTGGACCCTGGGAAATGTTGGGAAGGAGGCAGATGAAGAGAAAATTAAGCTCTGCTCCAGCTGGGCAGCCTTGTTTGATGTCAGCAACAGAGGGACATTTTGTTGCCATGTCTCGAATTGTAATATCTAGGGAGTGTTCTGGGGGGTGGGGCATTGGAATCTGCTCAGTCTGGGGGCAAGAAGGTTCACATCAGAAGGAAGCCGGGGCCACACCCAGAAATGGGGGCCCAGCGACTGCTCTGATCTCTTCAAGAAAAGCCACTTGCTTCAGAGACATTGCAGAGCAGTCACCCCGTCTCCTCCCCAGGGGACTGTGCCTCCTACCTTGTTGATCTCCCTCTGTGCGATGCTGGGGGAAGTGGAATCTGTCAGGTTCTGTACACATCCCTGTTGGACTCCACTGCCCCACAGACGGGAGATACAAGGGCAAATATACGCACAGTGCTGCTGGAGGTTTGCAGAGGAACAGAAGATGATCCATGGATTCGTTTGGTCACCAGCTGCTGCTTTGTGTTTATTCATCAAACATTCACTGAGCCCCTTTTACGTGTTAGCCACCTGCTGGGGATGCCATGATGAGGGAATCCACATCAGCTCTGCAGGAAGAGATCAGAGAGGAACAGATGCAACCAAGCAGCCTGGGAACATGTTCTAAGGAGGGAGGACATGGGGTTAGTGAGGCAGGCCAGGCGTAGGGTCAAGAAAAACTTCACCTTAGAGTCAGGAGTTTGAGACCTCCTGAGAAACATAGCAAGACTCCCTATCTCAGCAGAAAAATAAATTAAAACTAGTTGGGTATGGTGATGCCCCTGTCGTCCCAGCTACCCAGGAGACTGAGGCAGAAGGATTATGTGAGCCAGAAGTTGGAGACTGCAGTGAGTTCTGATTGTGTCATCATGCCACTGCACTGCACTCCAGCCACCTGGGCAACACAGCAAGGCTCTGTCTCAAAAAAAAAAAAAAGGAACGCTGCACCAAAGAACTGAAGCATACATGAATGGAGTCCAGGCTGGGTGGTAACTGTGCTTCGGGGCAGCTTTGACAAGTGGTGCAAAAGAAGCCCAAACAAGGTCTTTATGACACACATATAAAGAGGTGACTTCTGACTGGAGAGTGGGTGGCTTCTTGGAGGAGGGATATGATTCAGCTGGTGAAGTTGCAGCAAGGACTTTGCAAGCAGAGAGAACAAATGAAAAAGCTATGGCAGTGAAAAAGACCTGGGCATGATTATGCATATCTAGGTTTGATTGGGAGATTAGATTCATAGTGGGAGTGAAATGGGTAAAAGACCAGAGAAGCAGGCTGGCATCATGTTGTGAAGGCTCTTGATGCCCTGCTAGGAGTTTTTATTTTGATCATAAGCAATGGAGGACAGTTGCAGGATTTCGAGCAGAGGAATGATGTGATCACAGGGGTTCATAGGAAGCAAACGGGCCAGAGAAGAGCTGAGTGGGAGGAGGAAGCTTTTATTGTGTTCACTCTCTGGAAGTTGCCTTTTAGATACTGCACTGTTCAAGGCTTCTTTGACGAGAAGCAACATAATCCATGCCTGCCCACCACATCGACTCTGCTCCCTCAGCTACCAGGTCTAGCATCAGTAAGAGCTCTGACGCCAGCAGGAGGGTGGAATTTGTCAGTGAAGTGGAGCCTGGGGAGAGAGCCAGGCAGGAAACAGTTTGCCTTTCAAAAGGTGGCTCATACCCGTAATCTCCACATGTTGGGAGGCCAAGGCAGGAGAATTTCTTGAGGCTAGGAGTTTGAGTCCAGCCTAGGCAACATAGCAAGACCCTGTCACTGCAACAAACAAACAAACAAACAAAAGTTTAAAAAAAAGTCAATGTGTGTGTGTGGGGGGGGTGGGAATTAATTTGAGGCCAATCACGAACATCTTTGTTGAGAAAGATCCAGGCACTAGACCAGGACTTTTTAGAATGGCCTGGTGATGGAGCGGTTCTTAGTGATGATGGATCCTCAGATGTGGGTTCCTGGATCACAGTTTACTAACTGCTTGCTCTGGGCAACCTGAGTCTGAGAAAACCACAGTGTGTTCACACCTGGAATATGTATGCAGCTTTGGCTACGATGTTAAAAGAAAACATAGAGTTAGACGAGGTCCTCAACTGGTCTCTAAAAGGTGGAAGGGTCTTCCATCTGAAGGTACATTGAAAAGATTCAGATCTTTTATATGGAAAAGATGAAGGCTGAGAGACACAGGCAGGGTTTTGGAGCCATTTGAACGGAATGAATAGGGGAAACAGAGATGTGCTCACCAAACCCTGGACTCCTAGAGCTATGGATCTGCAGTAAAGGTGGCAAGAGGCAGTACCAGGCCAGTAAGATGAAATACCCGTTCACATGATGAGAAGGCCACCGAGAACTCAGAGGATGCTGTGGAGTAAGCATCTCAGTGGATGTGAGCTAAGTGGCATCACTCCAAGATGACAGAGCCACTGTAGGGTGTTCAGGGAGGCAAGTGGTGCCTGGGGCCTGTGTTTAACCTTTTGAAGTTGACACCTTGAGAGACAATAATGCCTTCCCAGGAAGTGCCACCCTGTGACATCAGTCTGAGAGGTCCCCACTTGCACAGAAAAGGGTTTTCTGTTTTCTTCTGCATTTACTTGAATGTCCAATGTGACCCCCACCAAGCCCCAAGATTTTTAACCTCTCTTGACTTTTGTTTCTTCAGCCTCAAATTATGATGATTCAAGGCTAATCAATATCTCAAGGGAGCATCAAGGCTCTTGTGGTGAACTCAGAAACATAAAAGGGCGATGTTCTAAACAGACCCTGCAGAGCCAGCTCTCTGTTTTTCAAGGTCACTAGGTAGGCAAGGAACACACACACACACACACACACACACACATACACACACAACCCACATTTAGTGGATTGACTAAATAGCTTCAATATTACCCAACCAAATGTAACAGAGTTGCTAATAAGGGACAAAAGGGACTATTTTGTCTCTTTTTCCCCTTTCGTTCCATTTTCCACTCCACTGGTTGAATGTCTAGGAAGTGGGACGTGGTGAGCAAGTGGGGCAGGGGGGCGACAGGGAGAAGTGGGGATCTCCACCCCCAGTGGGCATCTGGAGCTGATGGCTGCAGGTGCCCTTCAGACCCAGGAGGTATAGAATCTGCCTCCTGACTTGAAAGGGAGTAGGGTGACGTGGACTCAGGGTTGAATGAAACCGGGACGGTCAGGGAAAGCAGGGATCCTGCAGACCTGGCCTGACTGGTCTGTGTCCCCACGACACCATGCAGGTGACTGTTGGCTTCTGGCAGCCATTGCTTCCCTGACCTTGAATGAAAAGCTGCTTTACCGGGTGGTCCCTAGGGACCAGAACTTCCAGAAGAACTACGCAGGAATCTTTCATTTTCAGGTATTGTGCCTTGCTCGTGGCTTTTGTCATTACTTTCCATACTCTTAGGTCCCACCCCAGGTCGACTGAGTCAGAGACTCTGGGATTGGGGCCCAGGAGCCTATGGTTTAACAACTGCTCCAGGTAATTCTGATGCTCACTTAAATCTGAAACCTCTGCTTTAATGTGTCCATCCAGTCACCCACATGTCCATCCTCTTCACATCTCCCCCAGGCCATATGGCCTTGAGGAAAGCACTTGGGACTGAGGGGTAGGATATGTGGGTCTGAATCACCCACTGTGGCCATGGGATGCTGCTGGGCAAGTTCTCTTATCCACAGACTCAGACACTGGACTAGGTGTTTCCTGGTCCATCTGGGATCTCCTATGCATACAGATAAGTGAGACACAGATCCTGCTCTTATGGAGCCTGGAGTCCAAGAAAGGTCCTAGACTCAAGCATGGATGGTAGAGTCCCCACGTGTGGGCCACTGAAGAGACGTCCTCTGCACATCTGCTTGTTCATGCTAGCAGTGTTTTTCCCCCTCCCCTAGTTCTGGCAGTACGGAGAGTGGGTGGAGGTGGTCATCGATGACAGGCTGCCCACCAAGAACGGACAGCTGCTCTTCCTACATTCTGAGCAAGGCAATGAATTCTGGAGTGCACTGCTAGAGAAAGCCTACGCCAAGTAAGTGGGGTGGTTAGGAGCTAGGAGAAGCCAGAGCCTCCCTGAAGCTCTCACCTGCCCCTTTTCATGCCTGCCTCCCCACCCCAAACTCATGATCAAGTCTTTTCTAGCACCTGTACACCCATGGGCCAGAGAGAGAGCATCCCTTAGTAACTAAGAGCAACAGAAATTTGGGCTGAGAATTTAACTTCTCAGCTCTATCTTGTGTGAATATACACAAGGGCAAGCTCCCTGCCTGTATTAGTCTGTTTTGCCTTGTTATAAAGAAACACCCGAGGCTGGGTGATTTATAAAGGAAAGTGGTTTATTCTGGCTCACCTCATGGCGCCGGCATCTGCTGGGCTTCTGGTGAGGCCTCAGGAAGCTTCTAATCATGGTGGGAGGCAAGGGGAGCAGGCGTGTCTCATGGCTAGAGTGGAAGCAGAAGGAGAAGGAGGTGCCAGTCTCTTTTAAACAACCAGTTTTCATGTGAAAGTAGAGGGAGAACTCACCACTAGAGAAGGCACCAAGCCATTCATGAAGGATCTGCCCCCTGACCCAAACACCTCTCACCAGACCCCACCTCCAACATTGGAGATCACATTTCAACAAAAGATTTGGAGGGGACAAAATCCAAATTGTATTACTGCCCCTCGAGGCCTGAGATTTTTCCTCTTTCAAACCCCAAAGTAATTTCCTAGGGCAATATGAAGAATGATGAGGAATAATAAAAAAAATGTACTCAGATACCAAACTCAACCATGTGTCTACCCTTTCCTTGAAAGTCATTCTCCTTCTCACAGGTATTTGATGTTCAAAGACTTCTTTTGGGTTCTTTGAATTCGTTTTGTTTACGGCAACCCCAGTTCCTTTCTAGTCTTATTCCCACAGCAAGTCTCAGCAGATGCCTCTCAGCCTTGAGGGGGGGTTCCCCTCAACCCTACTTTTGCCTCTCAGCCCCAGAAACCCAAGTATCTGGGGTCAGCTCTGGAAGGGTTGTCCTTGGCTCTGTAAAGGAGTAGGTCTCTTGCAGAGAGGTCGGCTCAAGTCAGATCCTAGTAAAGTACTGAGCTGGCCGTGTGACACCGTGGCCAGTGCACCTTTCTGGCCCATAGACAAAATTGGCAAAGGGCCCCTTTTAACCTTCCACTCCACGATATGTCCCAGCACTGTCCCTGTCCCCAACTCCTGGGATCCCCTTGCTGGGGTTGCTAATGGCTGTAAGATGGTACATGTGTTCTTTCTTTTCCAACAGGCTCAATGGTTGTTATGAGGCTCTCACTGGAGGGTCCACGGTAGAGGGATTTGAGGATTTCACAGGTGGAATCTCTGAGTTTTTTGACCTGAAGAAACCACCAGCCAACCTGTATCAGATCATCCAGAAGGCCCTCCGTGCGGGGTCACTGCTGGGCTGCTCCATCGATGTGAGCCAGATGGCTTCTTTTTTTCCCCTTCTCCCTATGTGTGGTAGGGAAGGGACTGGACAGGAGAAAAGAGGCCCAGGAAGGCTTTGGCCCAGAGCAGATTCTGGTGACATATTGGTCTGCAGCACATAGGAACTGGTTAAGATCTAGTTAGAAACTGGGGTTCATCACATTGGAGGAGCCCCGATCCCCCCCCAATTGTTACAGCCCCTTTAGAATTGCTGGAAATGCCCTAAGAACATAGTGTTGATTCCTGGGTCCTAGGCCCTACCGTAGCTACCTCCTTTTTGCTAAGTAATTTTGAAATTTTGAAATACAAATATGATGATTGACAACGCTTGGTGGATCTTGAGCTCCTTGAAAAGGCAAGAGATTATGAAACCAGGGATCATGCCTGACTGGAGGATTGGCTGTATGGAGTTCCAAGGTGGCTGTGTGGACCAGAGGCTGAAAGCCACCGGTCCTGCAGTCCTGTCACCACTGCTTTCTGGCTGCTCTGCTTTCCTTTCTTGCTCTTGCCTTTGTCACTGTGAATGACAAAGTAAGAATGTTCTTTCTTTCTCTTCTCTCTAAAAACTGCGGCAGAAGATATGTGTTTTTGGTAGGGAGGCAATCTGGGGCACAGGTGAGGGAGTGCTGGGGAGACAGGAAGGAAGGGGATGGAGGGAAGCTACTCAGGGAGAGTACCAGAGGACCAGGATTTGCTCAGAGCTGTCATCGTGTAAAATTAGTCTTCAGGCAGCCTGAGGTCGCTCTTGGAGAATGAATGGCTTCCCAGTTTCTTGGTGGCGTTTTGAACGCTGGTTCTTCCAGGCTTGGCAGCCGCATAGCACCTGCCTGAAACTGATGATTAAAGAGGGTTGAGTGGAGATGGCTCTACTTACCTGAGGCTCATTGCCATGTGTGTGCCCCGTACTGCACTGGGGACCCCATGGCTAGGTAGTGTGCCCTTGGACAGCATTGTAGGCCAGCTCCAAAGAGGTCGGGGTCAGCCACACTGAGTGGACTTTCTCCTCGACCCAGATCTCCAGTGCAGCCGAAGTAGAAGCCATCACCCGCCAGAAGCTGGTTAAGAGTCATGCGTACTCTATCACTGGAGCTGAAGAGGTAAAATCTGGCAGGAGGAGGGCGAGGGTAAAATGTAATGAAATACTCATAAACCCTGTGCATCCTGAGAGAGAGGGATGACCTCTCCTAAGAGGTTCAGAATTGGCTTTGGCGCCCCCCAGCCCCACTGGAACACAGTCTCTCTTTGCCTACGCAGAGTCCCTGATACCACACTTGTGCTTGCTCACTGGAAAGGCCCTGCTGAGTCTTACCCATTCAGAAATGGACAACTCAACCTCTTGGAGCTTTAGATCTATGGGTTCTAACTACATGCAGGCAGTCTAAGGTGTGGCCAGGAAAGTTGTGGAGATTGTCAGTTAAATTCCAGACATATTCCAAAAAGTATGTTTGTGTAGGTAAAATGGTAGAGACCCAGAGGATCCCAAAAGGGAAAGAAAGGGCAGTTGTGCCTATTCTGACTTCCAGTGTAGGGTGTGATAATGGTAAAGCGTGCAGGTATTTCTCACTCTCTAGTTCAAGGAGAATGCATGGGCTATAATTTTCATTATTTTTATTTCCTATGTTCTATCTACTTCCAAAAAAGACTTGAGGTAGTTTACAATGAAAAGAATAGATACAATAAAGCCATACAACTGAAAAAATGCATCAATCTAGGCTAAAGACAGTGCTACAACTGATCAATTACTTTCGCTTTAGGTTTCCCAATGGCCAAGGCAAAAAGGGAAATGCAGAGGATGTCCTAGCCCTTGTTATTTATTAAAATGGCATAGATGCCCATGACCTGTGTCTATATTTCATGAACATGCTCTTTAATCAAGTCAATTTCATAAATATGAATTGAACATATGTGTATAAATTGGGCTAGAGCACGATGGAGAATACAAAGAAAATTAAAACATAAAGACCCAATGGTCTACACACAATTTTTGTGTGAGAATGTGAATGCAAGCATTTGTGCAGGGATACATGGGGGTTCATACTTGAGCATTCAATAAATAGTAGGAAAAGATGGTATGCATGGATTTATGAGTATGGGCTTTGGAGAAAGACTTGCCTGGGATCCCATCCTGCTTACTAACCAGGTAATCTTGGATAACTAACTTCTCAAAGTCTCATATTTTTAATTTTAATTTTTAGCTTAGAGACAACGTCTTACTGTGTCACCCAGGCTGGAATGCAGTGGTGTGATCATAGTTCATTGTAACCTTGAAATCCTGGGTTCAAGGGATCCTCCTGCCTCAGCCTCCCGAATAGCTGGGACTACAGTCATGCATTACCACACCCAGCTAATTTTTTATTTTTTGTAGAGACAGTGATCTTGCTATGTTGTCCAGGCTGGTCTTAAACTTCTAAGCTCAAGCCATCCTCCCACCTTGGCCTCCTGAAATGCTGGGATTATAGGCATGAGCCACTGTGCCTGGCTTAAATCTCAGATTTTTGAGCTGTGAAATGAACATAATAATAGTACCCAGCACTTGGGATTGTCATGAGGTTTAAATGAAACAATAACACATTTGAAGTGCTTAGCACAGCACCTACTCCATAGTACATGCTAAATAAATGTTAACTGCCATCCTATTGTTATTTGGCATTTATTATCATTAGGTCTCATATATTAAGACCTGAGTCAATCTTAGTCAACCATAAATCTAAATCCAAGTTAAAGCACACATAAACCTGTTTCTGTGCAAGACTCACTTTTCATTTATTGGAACAAGTTGTGAAAAATAGAGTCCTTGGCCAAAGCCTAAAAATGTACATTATAAGAAAATAAAAGTGTGGTCCTTTATGGACATTTAAGAACTGTAATGCAAATCCTCTCAGGTGCAGGTGTGTGTGCAAGCTGGTAATTCAGCTGCTTTTGTGTGTGTGGACCTTGCAGGTGAATTTCTGTGGGCGTGCAGAGAAGCTGATCAGACTCAGGAATCCATGGGGTGAAGTGGAGTGGTCAGGAGCCTGGAGTGATGGGTAAGTTCTTCTCTTTCCTCCCCAAGACTTGCCTCCTCTGCAAAAGGGTGTCACGTAAAGCACAGAATAGTGAGACCGATGTCACAGTGAGTTCAGCAGCACGTACTGCCCACAAACCACACGGCCTGTTCAGAAAAGAGTGTTAAGTGGTTCCAGGCTGGGAAAAGCAAAATAAAAACCACTGGGCTGCAGTCTTTGACTCTGGCTTTCTGCCTTGGCATTTGAAAGTTTGGCAGCTCCGTCGAATTTTGCTTTCGTGCTGAAGGATTTTTGTGTTTTCTACCTACCACACCGTGGTGGTCCAAAGGTCAAATCGATCACTCACAGCCTGATTCTTTCCACTCCACAAACACTGGCCACTCTGACAAAGGCCAAACTCCTCAGCACCAAGAGGAAATGCCGATGCTGAGAAAATGGAGTTTGATCCAGGAGCCCCAGGATGGCAGGCAGTGATGAGGGAAGTGGTGCTCGCTCCCCCCTCAGGGCGTGAATTGATCTTGGCTGGAGAGAGATTCTTCTCAGGCAGGGCTCTCCATGGGTGAGGGCAAGTAGGTCAGAGGTAGCGATGTCCCGGGACAGCTGTGTCTTGAACTCAAGTCTGCGTGGTATGGGAGAGTGGGTCAAGCATGGGGTGGTTTTGGTCCATTAGCACAGCTGGCATGAAGATAGGTTGGCACTGGGGAAGGAAATGAAATTCTCCAGTCTCATTGATGAAGAGCTGACAGAAATGGGAATGATTGTAATAATTCCCCCCTCCCAGTTCATTCTGTTCATGCTCTGTGATGCCACCAGGGTTTTGAAGGGGACTTCGCCACATTTTATCCAAGCATTGTTAATACTGCTCATTATTGCTCAGAGCTGCAGTAGTTTCCTTATTCCTAGGAGGAAATACTTGTCCCCAGGGCCACGGATGGGAAGCAAACACTTCTCATTCCACTGCCTAAGATTGAGCAAAACTCAGGCTGGGCACTGTGGCTCATGCCTATAATCCCAGCACTTTGGGAGACTGAGGTGGGAGGATCACTCGAACCCCGGAGTTTGAGACCAGCCTAGGCAGCATAACAAGACCTCATCTCTACTAAAAAAAAAAAAAAAGAAAGAAAGAAAGAAAAGAAAAAAAAAAAAAAGCTAGGTATGGTGGCATATACCTGTAGTCCCAGCTACTTGGGAGGTTGAGGTGGGAGGATTACTTGAGCCCAGGAATTTGAGGCTTGGGTGAACTGTGATCATGCCACTGCACGCCAGCCCGGGTGACAGAGTGAGATCTTGACTCAAAAAAAAAAAAAAAAGGATTGAGCAAAGCCTAACCCCTCGATTCTGCCCACTGCTCTAAAAGGATGACGTGGCCACATAAAACCTAAACTATGAGTTTGGGCCATTCTCACCAACAGTCATTTACCAAGCTGCCAAAAAGGCTTGTGTGACTTTGTCTCCTTTCCTTGAGCTACACCGTCTTTAACAGGTGGGAGGTGGTGACCATTGTCAAGGCCTGGGGACTTACCAGCTGAAGTCGTGGCCTGGGATGTTTATATATATATATATATATACATATCTGATATTGCAGAAAGACAGCACTGAATCTCTGAGGCAGCACATCAAACTCAGCCCAGTGTTAGCTAGATTTTACTTTTTTTAAAAGTTAGAATAAGAAAGCAATCAGGAGAGAATAGGTCAGCTCTAGAATGTTCCAACTTGTGCCCTAATCTTAGTTTATAACTAGAACATTGTGAGATTCAGTGAATTAAAGAGGTCCTGGAAACTCTTCTTCTGATCCCCAAGGTCTATTAGAGGCCAGCTTTGAGGGAGAGATTGAGCTGGGGTGTGTCCCAGCTCTTATGCTAGGGAGGGGAGTGTTTAGGTTTTGCTGAAAGGACTCAGGGAAGGGATTTTTTTTTTTAAAGGTGGCTCTTGATGCAGCTCAGTTATTTAGACACTGCATACGTATTTCAGGAAAATGTAATTTTGTAAAGGTCAGGTAGCTGGAGATGGCATTTGAACAAAGTACATGGATATTGCCCCAGAAAGGCCACCAGCAGGAGGCCTCACAGGGTGACATTACTTCAGGGAAATTGCCATGCGTCTGCTGGTCATTCTTGCAGGCTCAGGAAGTGGACTATGTCTATGCACCCAGAGCCAGTCTGACCTACACTCACCCCAGACTGATGCATACACCAGAATGACAGCTTACCAATTGATACCAGAGAGCATGCCTTTCTAGTGACAGGAGTTCTTACTTGTTCTTTCCTGAACGTCCCCATTCCTGCCATCAGAGACCTGGGAGTCTTCATGAGAAATGTAAAACTTGTCTAGAGAGCGAAACTTAGTGTTAGGCTATAATGTTCCTGCCACATGTCCAGGGCCACCCCGCTAGTGCCCATGGAGTCTGTGTCCCTGGCCTGCGTCTCCTCCCTAGACTGTGTGCCTCTTACCCCATTGTCCGCCACCCTGCCTTCCTGCCTACCTGCTGTCTTTTTGGTATTCCACTGCTGGCCCTTAGTGGGAAGTTTCGCTGAGTAAACGGTTTGCCGCAGAATCCCCCAGAAAAACCACCTTTGCTTTGTGTCCCCTCCCTCCCCCCCCCAGTGCACCGGAGTGGAATGACATGGATCCCAGGCAGAAGAAAGAGCTGGACAAGAAAGCTGAGGATGGAGAGTTCTGGTGAGAAGGCTTTCTGCTGGAGAGTTGGCCCCTTGGTTATGGGTACATTTCCAGTTCTGACGTGGGCACAGCCAGTCGCTAGGTCTTCCAGGAATGCGACATGCTTCCCAGCCATGCAGCATCCATTCTCCTCTCCCTTTTGTGTCCTAGTATAAATCTACTCCTATACCAGAATGTCTAAAGCACTGAAACCTAGATATCTGGGCCCTTACCATAGCTTAGCTATCAGCCTTTCTTAGTTCTATTATCTTTCCAATGAACTGAGAACACCACTTCTATCTCTGTAAGCTAAGATTTAGCTTACCATCAATATAGGATAACTTCTTTCGCTAGTGAGCAAAGAAAGATAATAAGGATCCCCCTTGAATATGGGACAGCTTAGCTGGACAGCACTCGGAATTACACAGAAACGAGCCTATTGTGAGCTTAGATTTAACCCTGCCTAGAGGCAGAGGCTTTCTTCAGATGACCTCCTGAAGTCTATTCCAGTTTATAATTCAGACTCTTTGCCTGGCTGGTAAGATTCGTGAGGGAGGCTCCCTATAAGAACCAAGAACGGCAGCGAGGAATGTAGACAGTTGCCTCTGCAGATTCGTATCAGTGGCTGAATGTGCCACTGCACTCCAGTCTGGGTTACAGAGTGAGACTCCAACTAAAAGAAAAGAAAAGAAAGAAAGAAAAGAAAAGAGAAGAGAAGATTAGGCTAGCCTGGGCTCTAGGACCTCTGATGGTTCTCTTTCCTGTGCTCAGGAGGTATGCTGTTAGTCACCTTTGCAGCCCAGCTCTCTTGACCAACAGTCCTCTGCTTCCTCTGCCCCCAGGATGTCATTTTCAGATTTCTTAAGGCAATTCTCTAGGCTGGAGATCTGCAACCTGTCCCCGGACTCTCTGAGCAGTGAGGAAGTGCACAAATGGAACTTGGTCCTGTTCAACGGCCGCTGGACTCGGGGCTCCACTGCTGGAGGCTGCCAGAACTACCCAGGTGAGGTGAAGGGCCGTCTGGGCCCAGCTTCCCTGCAGCTTGTCCTCCCTGAGCTGGGTGACTTTATGTGTTAATCTTTGGGTGATTCCTTTAGACTTTGGCTCCTGGGTACTCCCGGGAGGCCCTGCTTCTCTCAGGGTAGGCAAGTGGCTCTGCAGTTGTCACCTGAGGCCTGATCTCAGCTTCTAAGCGTTCTAATGGTACCTGCTTCACCCGCTGTCCCCTGCCTCAAAGGATGTGCTCCTTCCTACTAACCCTATTCTTGGCACCCTACGCTAAGGCCTCCAGTTCTTCTCTTGGGCTTCTGCCATCTCCTCTAGACCCAGCTTGCTGATCCCATCCCACTGAGCTCTGGGACAGTGGGTAATGGTGCGCTAGGGGAACCTGGGCAACAACATCTGTTGTTTCAACAGATAGCATCCATCAGAGCTGCTGTCTTGCTTTGTGTTTGTGCCTGAGTCAGACGAACGCAGCGTGGGCCGTGGATGGCCACACACAGAGCATGCATGCGGCCACTCCGCTCCCACAGGAGTCTTCGGGACTCCATCCTTGGTGGGGATAGTCTGGTGCACACCCTTTGCCTCCGCACTAACCCTGGGTCCTTATCTTATGAAAGGCGGGAAGCCTTCCCAGCTCACAAGAGACCACTAACTACTCATGTGTAGACTCCTCCTAGGATCTATCAGCTGAGGCAGCACCTGATGAAGAAACTTGGAAAAACAGCCCCACATCTCTAAGGAGAAATGAAGAAAAGCAAATCCGCACTCTCCACTTCTCACTTCCCCAATCCCCACGCTCCCTGCCTGGTTTGCTGTCGATGTGTTGATTGACATAGACTGTAAGCGCATGGGGCAGGGTTGGTGGCTTTCATCTCAAGATAGAGCTCACTCTCACTGCAGGGCTGTGCTCAGTGCCATGGAAGCAGCTTTGTAATGAAATCTCACCTCGGTGCTGGGGTCTTGACAAGGTCTCTCCTCTTTCACTCCCCCCATCCAAGCCAGTGCTCCCAGTTCTGGCAGCTGTGACCAGAATGCTGAGCGGAGAGGAAGGAAGGGCATCTGTATTCTCCTTCTGTTACTTAGTTTAACATCTGTGAGACCCAGTGGTGGGGGGGGCAGGGGAGGGAGGGGTGAAGGTGAGGTGGGTGCGCATTTCCAGTTTCTGAGCATCAGTTTCCTAATCCTCAAAATGGGGTAATAATTCCCACCTTCCAACCTCTGTAGGGCCCAGTGAGCATTGTAATACCGAGTGTCGAGGGAAGCACTTTGTAAACTGTGCAGCAATATACAAATGGGATATATTATTTTTATGGCCCATTCTCTTCCTCCGGTATGGTTAAAGAGTAAACAAAAAAATGTATGGATTGCAATAATGTTACATTTGGGAGAAATTATAACATGCTCACAGAATTAGCAAGGTCTTAGAAAATGCATAGAAAGTATGCACGGATCATTTTTGGAGCTTGGAACAGTAGGGGGTGCCCAAAGTATCTGTATGCACCAAATCACAATCCTATCTGTGCCACCAACTAACTGTCAGAAAGGGATAGATTGTTCCTGCCCTTTGGTAATGATGTAAATACAGAAGATTACAGAATTCGCTCTGTCTCCTCTGAAATCTGTAGATATTTGGCTTTAAAACCCATACATTTGTGCTCTAAATAAAAAATCTGGAAGTGGAGATTCTGGGAAGGTGGAATTAAATAAGTAATTTTACTGTTAAGAAAAAATGATAATCAATGGCTCTTGGTCACCTGTGAATGCCTTGTTATTTTATCAATTTGGACACTTGAAAGGATGTAGGAAGAAAACCTCACCCTCCCACTTCCTTCTTCTCCCAGGGCACATCATTATTGAAATTGCTGAGGCCCTAGTGTGGAGACACCCGTCAGGCCCGTCTTCTTTGATTATGCTCTGCTTCTGGACTCTGTCATAGACTTGCTGTGTGTCCTTAAATGATTCTTTTGACCTCTCTGTGCCTTGGCTTGGGTAGTCCCTATTCTGAGAGATTTTTAAATAGTCATCTTTGAAATGAAGTCGACTTTTTAAATGTCCATAGGTAGTATGGAAGGAATGTTTCTTAATTGCCAATTGTGATTTCTCATGCATTATTAAATGACTTTCTCTTGAAGGGAGTGTGTCTCATCAGTGGGCTGTAACACCGAAGCCATCGTGTGAGGCCTCTGGGGTGACGGGCAGAGGATTAGTTCTCAGGGCTGCTTCAGGCTAAGCTCTGAAGAGGGGGACGTCTTGGAGGAAGAGCATATGCCAATCAGATGGCGAAGGCCGTCATCTTCATATTCTGCCAGGCAGAGGCCTCCTTGGTTGCTAGTCTCTTCTGGGGCTTTGTCCTCATCCATCCCAGAGACATGTTTATACCTAGAGGCTCCCCTTCCTTCAGGAGGTGGGTTTGTCTTCACAGGCCAGGAGCTGAGAACAAGGAGATATTAACTATTTCCCCAGGAGGACTTGGAGGTTACTTCCCGGTGCAGCACAGTGTGGCCCTGGGAATATATTGTTCTGAATATTCCCGGTTAAGCACACCTGGGCTCTGGGCTAATCGAGTGGACAAACCCAAGGGTTCCCAATGCTATGGAATGTGTCTGCTGGTGGAGTAGGGAGATAGTGGGAGGTACCTGACCCCTTGTAAAGAACATTTAGTGAGGCCTGCTCACCTGGTACAGTTTGGACAGAGATATGCTTTCCTGGGAATGACCAAGGTTCTTTCCTTTCATGGTCTCCTTCCCCATCTCCTCACACCCCCATGTGGGGAACCACCATCACCTGGGTGACTTCCAGCCACGTACTGGACCAATCCCCAGTTCAAAATTCACTTGGATGAGGCGGATGAGGACCAGGAGGAGGGCATCGGTGAACCCTGCTGTACGGTCCTGCTGGGTCTAATGCAGAAAAACCGCAGGCGACAGAAGAGGATAGGACAGGGCATGCTCAGCATCGGCTATGCCATCTATCAGGTACTGGGAGCTGAGTTTGTCCTTCATTGTACATTTGATGGCTTTGGTCTGCATATTTTGACCAGCAATTGGAACACGTCTTTCCTAGTGCTTGAATATTTCTAATCAAGCATTGTCCTTGCTCTTTTAAATATCTTTCTTTTAAATATCCTTCCTGAGGCCTGATTTCTACAACTAAAGATTCATTCCTATAGCTTAAGTCTCTGCTGTGCACTTCATTAAACTTTGCCTGTCACTGGGGGCTCGGTATAAATGTGCCTATTAGACTATTTTCCAATTGCTGGTTTCTCAGGGAAGAGGAGCCAAGAACACGGAGGCATAAGGCACTTGAGGTGACACTAGGAGGATGAGGGGCATCACTGAATGGGGGAGAGAGGCTGTATAAGGGAGCCTAAGACAAATATGCCCTTTCTTTCACCCTGGGAAGCCTTGAGATGCTTGTTGGAACATACAGGGCACGGACTGGGGTGATAGAAGCCACGTGGTCACTTTCTGTTCTGGTGTCCCTGGACTGGGTGCCATAGCTGACTCTGGTCTCAGGCTACAGTTTCTGGCTCAGTGTGTCAGAAGATAGATATGTGAAAGCCAGACTTTTGGGTCTTGACAAGTTTAGGTAGGAACAAGTTGGAATCCACTTTTTTATACTGGCAAAGACTCCTTACAACAAATTCCAGAGGAATTCATGGTGGTTATTTTTATATGATTTTGTTAAAAATGAATTTCTTGAAAAAAATACAATTCTAATCAGGAAGAGCAAGAGCTGACTAGAGGTCCAACATCTCAGTATAAATTAATATATAAAAGGGAAGTGTTTTAATAAGAAACCAGTAAGGAAAAGCACAACTGTCAAGTTCAAGCTCATATCTCCCATCCTCGTCCCTTTATTTTTCATGCTTCGGGACTTAGGGCTTTGGCATTTTATGTGTGTGTGTATGTGTGTTTTTATATTGGAAGAATAGAAGTTGGAAAATAATTGTTACTTGATGGCAGGAGAAAATAATTGTGAATAAATAAGTTCCAGTTCTACTCCAGTTAAGCTCTTCCAGTTCATCTAGAATGCAAGTAGTGCTAAACCAGACTCTGCTTGCAGAGATATAAACCTGGGAAGGCACTTAGTATATGTGTGGTGATTCAACAAACTTTAGTGAGCATCTACTAAGTGCTGCTATTGGGTTGAAAGCTGAGGACACAGAGGAATATCACATGGTTAGTGTCTTCAGAGAGCTTACAGTCGGGTATGGCAATCAGAAACACACACACTGACTACGGGGAAGGTCAGATCTGCTGTGATGGGACCAACACGCGGGGCTGGTGTCGCCTCAGCTTCAAGGAGGAGGAGACTTTTGATCAGGGCCTTTGAGATATGAACTGGATTTCAAAGGAGGGGAAGGGAGAACATTCCAGCCAGAAGGGTACTTCTCGACAGCTTGAAAGTAAGTGAAGTTTCAGAGAGCAGATAGTAGGTGGGCATGGCTGCAGGGTGGGCTTCTCAGGGGCCACGGCCACTAGTTCTTCATCCATCAGGCCTACCTCATGTAACCAGACCAGCAAAGCATTTTTTTGAAGGGACCAAAACAGCTTTGTATGGCATGGCGTTGGCTCTGATAAGTAATATATAAATATATATCAGTTTTCCAGTCATCATAGCCCAGCTGCTTATAAAAGATTCCAGTGTATGTAATCCATGGTCCTTCTTGTGGTCAGGGATCTATGGGGTTGCAGGGAGTGGCTGGGGTTGCAGAGAGAGGGTACATGGGTTGTAGAGTACTATATTCTTACCCTGTTATCTCTCTCCTCTCTTTAACTGACTGAAACTGGAGTCTGGTTTGAGGTTGAAAGCCTGCCGCCAATTGAGAAGCAGCCAGGATCCCCTGAAGGCTAAAGAGCCCTTAGCTTCTAGCCTCCTCTCTCCTTTATCTTCCTGTGGTGACAACAGGCTCCTGCCAGGCTAGCCTGTCGTTTGTGTTCAGGAGCCTACATTTCAAAGGTGGACCAGTGGGCAGTGGGTAAGGCCTGCTCTCCTACCTCGCTGCTCTGGATTTGTGCCACCGAGAGGCCCCGTCTGCCTGGCTCAGTTCCTGCCAGTGACTCTTGGCAGGGTGAATTCAGAGCATATTGGTGGCAGCGGTGGTGGTCAAGTTACTAGAGGAAAGATGGCCAGCGTGGTTAGGAAAGTCCCCCGGGAGGGTGGGCAAAGGCCGTTAGGCCACAAGCCAAGAGAGGGAACCCTATGAGACCTCTGCTTTCTCAGACAGCCAGGGCTCCTGCATGGGCAATTTTAGTTTTACACTGAGAATCAGAGGCGTGACGGAGACCCTAGACTGTTCTACCTCTGCTGCCAACGACTAGTGGGGGCTCTGAAATCAAGGATGGCAGCTGAGCCAATTTTTCCCTACTGTTTTTGTTTTTCAGGGTTGTAGGCAATTGCCACAGACCCGGGCCACAAACAATGCCTGCCTTGCTCTTCTGGTCAAAAGAACCTACATGGCAGGGACAAAGGCAGGAAAAGGACAAATTGGGGGCTTGAATCCTCTTCTCTAGCCTGACCCAGGTGACCTGGCACAGGAGGGCTCCCAGTCTGGATATGAGAGCTGTTCTCTTATGGAAGTCAACACTTCCGGCTGCAAATAATAATACATAATCAAGCAAGGCCAGTGAAAAGACTTTACCAGCTTATGTAACCAAACCAAGAAAAGAAGGGGGGATGCTTGGGACAAGGGTCTTAGATACTACCAGGATTCTTTCTCTCCATATCTCTTCTCTGGTGTTATACCATTTTGCTGGTTTAGATGCTTTCACTACCTAGTATCACTAGCATGAAGAAAAGAGCCCCTTCTCTTAGTTCCAATTCAGAAATCCTAGAGAAGACCAGACATGGTGGTCACACCTGTAATCCCAGCACTTTGGTAGGCCAAGATATGAGGACTGCTTGAGGCCAGGAGATTGAGACCAGCCTGGGCAATAAAGCAAGACCCCATCTCTACAAAAAGAAAAAAAAAAAAGAATTCCTAGAAAAGTCTCTGATGCACTCAGCTTGGGTCAGGAGCCTGTTCTTGGACCACTCACCACAGCCAAAGGACAGGATAAATTATGGCTCCTAGTGGGTGAGAGCCACACCCTTGATTTGGGAGGCCAGGTCTGTAGGACTCTAAAGATGCTGACTTTCATTTAAACCCCAAGGTTATTACTCCTGAAGAATTTGGTATCCTGGTAGATTCCACAATTAGAAAATGAAGTAAAAAAGCCGAACCTTCTTTCCGCTCCCGATTTCTAGGGCTCAGTAGTCTACAGTTAGCTTTAGCATTCATCAATGGCTTACTAGTTACAGAGATTCTGACTAGTTTCTCACTTAAGCAAGAGCTTCCTCACCGGTGGCCCAGGATTGCACAGTCTGCAAGATATGGGGATGGATCAAAGGAAAAAGAAGGACCTTGGAGCTCTCAGGTAACCCACTCTTTTCTTCTGCCCTGTAGGTTCCCAAGGAGGTACGTGAACACTGATAGAGATTCCTTCTTTGGGTGAGAAATAACTTGGCTGCCTTCGGGGATGAGCTGACCCCTGTGATGGAAGCCGGTTCTCCCACAGACTCTCACATGAACCAGTCATGAACCAGACCATATGGTAGCCCTGAGAGTTGCTGAAGAGCATCCCAAGTCCCATCTGTCAGGCTCCCATGGAAGGAGCATTGGTGACCCTTTCCCCCTTGTGTGCCTGGTGGTCCAAATAAGGTGATTCCAATGTGCAGCCAAGATTGAGAACACATGTTCTAAATAAGCTTCCCCCCCCCCCAACTAGGGTCAGGTGCACTAATTATGTGAAGGTGTATCTACTCTGTTGCAGCCTTATCCCAGCTCTCCCCATTATCGAGCTTGGCCCGCCATGTAGTATGTGCCAACAAGGCCCAAACCCATAGACTTCAGTCTATGCCTTGTTCCAAGACTGCAGACTACTGTCCTACCCTGCCCTTGGCTCACAAATGCAGTTACTGATAATTGAGGGAACAGATAAGGGAGTGTGGATGGTTTAGAGCCAACACCTCTTCCTACTATGAAGTAATGAAAACCAAAGCTAAGCCCAGGTGGTGGTGGTTCCCATCAGCAATGCTCCATTCGTGTGAGCGAGAGGTCGCATGCACACACAGTGGAACTTCCTGCAGCAGCACCTCACAATGCCCTCAGTGTGTCACCGTGGGTCCTGTGCTCTTCAAGTGCCAGTGGGCCTTCAGGCCAAGAGATGTCAAACTTGGACATGCCTCAGAATCCCTCGGAGGGCTTGTTAAAGCGTAAAGGGCTGGGTCCTGCTTCTGGAGTTTCTGATTCTGTGGGCCTGGGGTAGGGCCTGAGAATTTGTGTTTCTAACAAGTTACCCAGGGCTCTTTTGTTTTTGTTTTTGTTTTTGAGTTGGAGTCTCACTCTGTCATCCAGGCTGAAGTACAGTGGCACGCTCACAGCCACTGCAGCCTCGACCCGCTGGGCTCCGGCGATCCTTCCACCTCAGCCTTCCAAGTAGTTGAAACTACAGGCATGCGCCACCACGCCCGGTTTATTTTTTATTTATTTATTGTGGAGACGAGGTCTCGCCAAGTTGCCCAGGCTGGTCTCCAACCTCTGGGCTCAGGCAATCCTCTTGCCTTGGCCTCCGAAAGTGTTGAGATTACAGACTTGAGCCACCGCACCCAGCTACCCAGGGTTATTATGCTGATCCTGCACCCACATTTTGAGGACCACTTTCAGTTAAACCTGCCTAACCCCATCCTGTCTCTCCAGCTGAGCCATGTCAAGGGCATATGTGAGGGCCAGGGACTTTGTGGCGCCTGCCTGTTTAAGGTTCTTTGGTAGGACAGAGGAAACCTTGGTAGGACAGAAGAAACCAGCTCTTCCCTCAGTGTCCCCCAATCCACTCTGGCCTCTTAAATAGGATTTCTCTGACCTGATTCACCTCTGGATTCTTGCTGGAACTCAGTTTGCTCCTTGCCCAACCCAAGTCAAATTAGAGTTTGCTGTCCACTTCAATTCTGTAGAGCACTGTCTCCATATCCTCCCCTTGCTATCATCTGGGATGACAAGAATGACCTTTAGCTGTGACACTTAGGCCTTGGCCATGGCCTTGCTAACCATGCCCCAATATTCTTCTGCCCAGAGTGTAAGGAGATGCCAAGTGCTGTAGCTGCGCTAGTGGCCAAGTCAGTGGGGGCTGCCTGGGGACTCATGCAGAGTGGTGGGGGCAGGTGGCCCTGCTTCCTTCCTTGCTCAGCAGATCCGAGGAGAGTCTGGTGACTATGAATGGACATTGTCCACTCCAGGGTGGGCATTCCAGCTCCAGGTCATGCCGACATCACAGCCCTTGCAGTCTATCAGCACCTGGCCTCTGTCACAGGCATCTTGATGAAGACAGATCATAAAGACACAGTGCTACGAGGAGCCTTAATTACAGCAATAATAATGTTGCCACCTGTGTTTTGGAAGCACTCTGCAGTCACTAATTAGCCTGTCTCATGCACCAACAGCCTCCCTCTTCCCCCAACAAATAGGTGGGTCATGAGGAGCTTCATCTCTTCTCCTAGGAGAGCTGAGGCTCTGAGGAGGCGAGGGGACCCCAGACCAGGCCTGGCTGCGGTCAGTCTGTCTGTCTACCTTCTTCAGAGCTGCCTCCCGGGGCTCCCAGTCTGACCACCTCGGTCACCTTGTAGAGCAATTTTTCCAGGAAGTCAAAGGTGAGCAGGCTTTTCTGACAGCTTTTGTTTGAGGACCAGGGTTTAAGCTCACTTCTCCAGTCTCAGGCCTGCACTGGGAAGGTCAATACCACACCCCGAGGGACAGATGCAGTATTAAAGATTCTGTTGGATTCATGAGGAGGAATATCCAGAGAGAAGCTGGGCACACACTAGAGACCCTGCTGTTCAACCCTTTGCTTACCTGGGGAGACCAGAGGTCAAGTTCGCATAGTCAAGGTCAATACCTCCAACAGGGTGTGTCACCTAGAATGTGCTCAAATTACACTTGATGATTGATACACAGTGAATTTGCGACAGACTCTAAGGCCTCCTGCTGCTTAGAGCAGTGGTAAAAAATCAGTGATCCCTAAATCAGTACCATAAAGCTGAACTCTTCAGCTCTCATCTTCCAGGATTTAATGAGAAGTTGACTCTGCCCATTGTTTTGTGCAGCTGGAGAGTCACATGGATATGCACCTGGGCCGGGACTTCTTCCTGGGCCATCAACCCTCAGCTCGCACCAGCACCTACGTCAACCTGCGGGAGGTCTCTAGCCGCGCCCGGCTGCCCCCCGGGGAGTACCTGGTAGTGCCCTCCACCTTCGAGCCCTTCAAAGATGGCGAATTCTGCTTGAGAGTATTCTCGGAGAAGAAGGCCAGGGCCCTGTGCGTCTCCTTCCCTCTGTGTGGGAATGGTTGTCTGAGTGTCCATGGAGGAAAATGGCCAGATGTGGATACAGAGCCCTGTAGGACAGTAGGACTCATCCCTGCTCCCAGTTCATAGTCCCTGAAGAAGTCTGTAAGATACTTCAGGTCCCATGGGCCCTTCACTGGGTGTCCCTCTCCTGCCTCCTCCTGTTTGCTCTATGGGACACTGGGGGAGTTTTCTTTTAAAAAAATGGTCAAGGCTAGAGAGAAAGTGCACCAGCAGCAGCCTGGTGAGACGGCTCCCACCCATCCAGGAGGGGCATATGAGACCCAGAAAATGGGACCCAGATGAGAGCATCCACTTCTCCCGCTTATCCAGGCAGACACACACACCACATGTACACATCACATACACACACCACACATACACACTGTGTACATACCACATAAACATACACAACATATGCACACATACACTATATACACACCACACTATTCATACACACCACAGATATATACCATATACATACCACACATCATACATATACACTATACACATACACACTACAATCATGCATGACATATACATATCATGCACCGTATACACCTCTGCCCACACACATATGGCACACCCTCAGCACAGCACAGTCCACATGCATGCGTGCAAACAAGGGCTGTGGGCTTGCTGGCTCATTTCCCAGAGGATACTCCAAAAGGGATTCATGCAGCTGGGTTTCCAGAGGAGAAGAGTGGTAGCTGGGGTAGGGTGGGGAGAGAATTCCCCAGAAGAGTGATCCATGGAGGTGAACATTCTAGAATCCATAAAGGGCCAAATGAACTTGGAAGCTCTTGTCTCTGATGAAAAAGTCAGAGTGGGGTGGGAGTGAGGTGGTAAGGGGGAAAAATCCTGGTTAAAGATTTCGTTTAAGCAGTTTTTAGGAGGAATTGAAGTTTTGGGTGGGAAGGGTCCAAATCTTCCTTAGCTGTACTTTTTATTTACTCGTGTTTGGCTTATTTCTTTCTTTGTATTTCAGGGAAATTGGAAATGTGGTAGCTGGAAACCCACACGAGGTATGCAATCTTTTAGTATGCCAAGCTCTGCCGCTGTTGCATAGCAGTCATTCAAGGTTTCTTATTGATTCATCAGAGTTCTTTATTTATTAAGGACAGTAACTTCTTGTTAGGTCCACAACATTTTCTAGACTCTGGCTTTTCCTGTTGAAGAAGAGATAGAATTAGCACAGGAACCCAGGCTTTGTAATGCATCCTTACCTCTCAGGGTGTCTTAGTATGTTCTACAGAGAGGGCATACACTGTGCCGGAGCCCTTCTATGCAGGGTGGAGAAGTCAATGGGAGAAATGGAATGGATTCCTTGCTCTTAGATTGATCTCTAGTCTTTTTGGAGGACAAATGATGGAAGCCTATGAGGAAGATGAAGGGAAGTGCATGCCAGAAATGGATCTAAACCAGCGTATGTGTAGTGCAAGGAATGCTGGAGTGTGTCTAGTCTGGGAAGACTCCATGGAGGAGGCGCAGACTTTAGAGGATGAAATACACAGTTTGAAGTGTGCATTCGCTACCTCACTCCGTTTTTCCCTCACTTGTGTCCTCAGTTTACTGTCCTTTCCCTCAGGTGACATGTGTGGTGTCCATGTATTGGCCATTGCTCTCCCTGAGGACAACACTGTGTCTATGGCCAGTGGGCAATGGCTTGGGGTAGGGAAGGACTATCTTCATGGGGGCACAGGCCCAGTTTTTATCCTTCTGTTGTGTCTATCCAAAAGCATTAAGGTGTCTCTGGCTGCAGATGCCACACGGGTTATCTCCCCCCTCCACCCCTGGCTATTGAGTTTGCCATCTTTGGCCAAATAGGGGTGGAGAGAGATAGAATATGATATGACACATCCTCGCTGCCCCCAGGAGGACTTATCATTCACAGGGGTGTCTCTTATTCCCAGTCCCAGGTATATTAGAAAAGTCATCATTTACCTGTGAAGACTATGGAGTTTAGTCTGCAATATAAGTGCCGAGAATTATCCTCTTTTATTTTATTAATATCCTTTGTTTCTTGCTAAATCAACTTAAAACTGATTCTAAGCCCCCATTGCACCAGGTTGGCAAGAGTTCAATCCAAGCCACTATTGGGGCTCCCTATCTCTACCTCCAGTGGAGTATTGGGGTTTTCCACTGGCTCAACTGCTGTGAACCAGTTCTCAAGTGAGCAATCCCACCAGTTCAGAGACTAATTTTCTAAAGCCCCTAAGCAATAGGAAGTCTCTTCTGTTATGGGCCCACCAACATTGGTCATTTCTGTGGTCAGCTCACAGGTTCCTTCATGGCTCACAGTTCTTGGGCTTCTGTGATCAGCCTGGGGCTTAGAATCCTTGGCAAACTTGGAGTTCCCAGGTCAATGGTCCAGCCTGCCCTTCTGAGTTTTCCATAGCATGGTTATGGAGATATACTAGGGTTTCCATAGCTCAAAGTCCTGTGAACTTCCAGGGACTTCTTGGTCTCAGGGAAACTCAGTCCTAAAGTGAAACTTTAGGATACCCCTGCCTTCTCCAACACACACATACACACACACACATACACACACACACACACACACACACACACATGCACGCATGAGCGCATGCATGTGTGTATACACACTGACACATAAGAATAATATCCTTAGGGGACTCAGGAATTTACAGGAGACAGGAAGAGCCATTGCCTTCTAGAACTTCAGTTTTCCTTCCTGCAGAAATCTCCAAGTCATGGACAGTTGAACATTCAAAGGGCCTAACCCCTTGCTCAGAATGCGGGAGAGAAAAAATACAGGATGAACAAACACACTCTTGTACATTAGATGTGTTCGCTTTGAGCAAGGTTGTAAAGATGTTGTTAATATGTGATATAATGAATAACAAGAAAATAACTGCTTGCTTTTGCCATGCTGCCATGCCATCTGCAAAGCATGTTCACATGTATTTTATCGGGACAACTGATAATTCCACTATAACAAGTTCCTTGAGATTAGGAACCATGTCTTGCTCACCACTGCATTTGGATGCAGATATCAAACAGCTTTTAACATGTGTCAGGTGTTCAGTAGGTCCTTTTTGGAATGAATGTACAAATTGTGAAGTGCCATTTTTGCTATTGTATAAATGCATATGCCTCATATTCCTGTGTCCAATGATACCCCCTAGTGATGGGGTGCTGGCTATGTGTCCATACAATATACCTTTTTGAAAAATACATGTATGTAATTTTCTACCTTTTCCCCAGATGATAAAATATTATCCCATGTCCAGAATTTATGGACATCCCACTAGATTTTGATATAATATATTACATGAACAATATAATTTTTTTTCTGTAAAACTACTTCTGCAGTCACTAGGGGAACAAGCTGGATTAGCCCACTGGATGGCCATTTGACACCAGTCAGCTTCCAGCCAACCTAGCACATCTGATTGCAAAAACATAGGCTTATGAGAAATAATAAAAGATCAATGCTTTAAGCTGTGAAAAAAATATATATGTGTGTGTGTGTGATGTGCTGTGTTTATTGTTTTTTCTTCTAAACTATCTAGATGTATTTGTACATTTACATGTAAACAGCATGGTAGGCATTAATATGTTCATGCTGCAAGTGAGGAAGCAGAGCCCCAGAAAAGTTGAGAGTAGCAGGATGCAGAGAGTGTCTGCTCTGGTTGTTGTTCTAGAGGGCGATGAAGAAACATACAAGTTGGGGTTTGAATCCTGGCTCCACTGTTTACTAGCTGTGATCTTGGCTATTACTTTACATACTTAAACCCCAGTTTGTCCATCTGTGAAATGTGGCTAGTAATACGACTACCTAACAGGTAGTAAGTACTCAACAAAGTAAGTATTATTACTACTGTTTTTACTGTTATGAGTATAGTATCACCAGACCATATTGGGCCTTTTGAACTTGTCTTGGACAAAAAAGGATGATTTTGGAAGAAATCGACCAGGCCTTCTGGAAACTTGGATTCATCTGGGAAGCTGTGACTTTTCCACTGTGTCTGGTGGTGACAGTTGGGGGCTGTTCTAGAGTCCATCATCACATCAGAAAGACTCTGGACAGAGGCATTCATATATGGTTTCTAATTTCCAAAGGACTTTGACCCACATTAGCTCTCATTTGGTTCTCAAAATGAGCCCATGAAACAGACCTAGTTAATTTAACATTAGAGTGGAGGCAATGGGTGTTCAGAGTCCTGAGATAGTGCCCGGTAAGTGGCCAGTTTACTATTTGAACTCTAGTCCCCTGACTTCCAGTTCTTCTATTTCTACTAGGTTGTGTTCTTAACTACTTTTTAAAATCATTCTCTTTTGAGAGTCTGATGAAAACTAAGAAAATGCATATAAACAGAACCCCAAATTTCCATGCAATTTCTGGAATCCCCCTGAAGGTCATCAGTGAATCCCTTAGGAGACCACAGATCAAGACTGAGATTTCTTGACGTCAGTGATTTTGTCATCTTATGAAAGTGATTCGGGGTTGAAATAAATTCAGGGTCGGTGGGATTCACTTTCCACATTAGAGAGGAGACCCTTAGGCCTCAGCACTGTGTCCCTGCAGGGCTATAAACTCTCTGGGGCCAGGACCTTGGATACCTTTATTTTTTATCATCATATACCTCTACTTAACCCAGAGTCTGTCACGTGATAGGGACACGATAGATGCTAATGGATGGATGAATATGTTTTGTCTTCCTCTTTCAGCCTCCTCACTGATTCTCATTTTAACTTTGCAATTGTCCTTCCTCTTAGCCACATCCCAGTATGGTGGATCAAGAAGACGGCCAGTTCAAGAGCCTGTTTGAGAAGTTTGCAGGGAAGGTGAGTGGAGGGCAAATATAGCTTCCCAGTCAGGCAGAAGAATGTTCAGGAATGCTCAGGTCACTTTAATCTTTACCCCCTGGGGTCTCTAGGAGTAAAAAGGGCGAGCCTGTGTGGCTCAGGGGCCCTAGCTTTGTGTCTGTCAATTCCTCCTGTTTTAAACCAAGTGCCTTTCCTACACTGCTGGCGGCAAGTAATCATGATCCTAGGCCACTCTTCTTACTGCATTGACTGACTCTTGAGAAAATAGAAAAGCCAGTTCTCCAGGTCCTGCCAAAAGCCTTTCTGCTTGTAAATTGGTCCTGTCAGATAGGGGCCTCTGACTGGAAAGCTGGGGCGGCAAAACCTCTCCAAATCAATATCCTTCAGAGGTGGGATCACACAGCCTGGGTGGAAGGCGGCTCTGTTAACCTGGGCAGGGATTGGTAGGAGAACTGTAGCCCAGCTCTCTGTCACTGTCCTGCCCTCTGGGAGCTCAGCAGCACTCTGTGGAATCCACATTGGCCCAGGTGTGAGTGACTCAGGGGTGCTTGAAGAAGAGAAAGAAGCACCCACAGCTCCCTCCCCCCTGCCCTGGCTTGCATTCACTTTGGTACCAATCCTGTGGGAGCCAAAGGTCAGAGCATATCCTGGACTCAAGAGTGTCAAACTGGCCCCATACATACAGCTGTTCTTTGGGGGAATCATAAAGTGTGCAATAAGAGCCTTGGAAAGAAAAAAGCAGAACAATGCTCTCTACCCCCAGGGAAGCTCAGGGCGAGTTTCTAGGCTTAAGGATGGAATAGAAGAAGAGACGTTAGAATCCCTTGCAGAAAATAAAACATGGGAACTGTCCCTTTGCATAGCCATTGAATAAAACTCTTGCAAAGACAAGCCAATTTATGTTTTAGATGGATGCTCAGACCAGTATTTTGCTAACAAAAGCTTGCTTTCTTAGCTACCAAGGTGTCATATTTTATTTAAGAACATCAAGAATGATGAAAAGAAAAGCTCATATTTGTATAGTTCTTCATGTACTTTCTTGTCTCTCCTGCTGTGTGGGGCAGTAGTGGTCACTCTCCTTGCTCTGCTGGTGAAGTGACTGACACAGAGAGGTTGAGGACTTGGCTGAGGGCACAAGGCCTTGTGAGGGATAGAGCCAAGCATAAATGTAGATTCTCAACATCCCATTTCTTTCCTGGTAGGCTAAGGGGTGGGGGTGGGGGTGGTATTTGAGGCCCAGAGGTTTTGTAGAGAGTCCTCAGGTCTTATTCTTGGGACTGACCATTCTGAGCCTGAGTGAGGTCAGCTGCCCTCATGGGAGATGCCACTTTGTGCAGCTCTTGTCCTCATTTCCAGTAGGATTGCTGGGTAGTAGAGGAGGGAGGATGCAAAGTGACTCGGCTAAGGTCACATAGCAAGTAAGGGGCAGAGTCCAGGCTGGAACCCAGACCTCAGACCAGTGCCCCTTCTTTGTACCTCATTGGTCATCCTGCCTCAGGTCTGTCTTCCATCTGAAAGTGAAGGGATGAATCTTCCCTCTGGCTCAGTGTTTATCCCAGATGCACATGGGATATCCTATTCCAAAATAATGAACATGGCACCCCACAGATAGTTTTCAGCACTTGCCCTCTTCCCTCCCCCCCCCGGTCCCATTGAGAATTTGAGTTTTTTTTTTAACATGTAATTTCTGAAATGTTTATTTATTTATTTATTTAAATTATAAAGATGTGGGGTACAATTCAGGGTCAGATATACAAACATTGATTATGTAGATACCCTTGCTGATGAGATATGCCCCTCCCTCCCCTAGCACTTTCCCTCAACTTGGATGGATTTAGAGTAGATCATACTCAGTGATCTATCACGGAAACAAAGAACAGAGAACCATATGTTCTCACTCATAAGCGGACCTTGAACAATTATAATACTATGAGAATTTGCATTTTTAAAGATGTCACTTGCTTTTAAAATCACAGGGCCGGCAGACCTGGTGTCTGACCATGGAGGATGCTTGACATTAATTTACTTTACAGGGCCTGACATGGTTTGCATTTGGGTTCCTCTTTCTAGGATTCTGAGATCAATGCCAATAAGCTCAAGACAATTTTGAATGAGGTGTTTTCCAAACGTAAGTTCTTCCTTGGGGCCTTTCAGAAAGTCTGTAGGAGCCTGGGAGATGTCAGGGTGGCCGAGGGGCAGGTGGGGATGGGGCTGGAAGCACTGCAGGTGGGAGAAGGGGCTTTGGCCTCTGACCATAGGGATCCAGATTTGGTCCAGCAAGGCCAGAGTCAGGAGACAGAAGAGGCAGGAGAAGCAGGAGAGGAGGCGGTGAGGACAGGGCTGTAGTTGTGAACCAGCCAGCCCCCACAGGAACAAGGCCCTGTGGTGTTAGGTGAAACCCAATGCTGAGTCCTGGGAGGAAGGAAGCTGGGCTGGGATTGACTTTAGTAAATTTATTTTTCACATGATGGATAACTTGAACTGTGGAAACTTCTGCAGATGAAATATCTTGTTCTATAGTGCATCTTTGGGGAGGGAGGCTGGAAGGGACGATTTTGACTTTCCTAGACAATTTCAGTTCCCCATCTTCAGACTTGAGCAAGCCTCGGAAAAGTCAGGGGAGTCAAACTGCACCAGGAGGAAAGGTTTGCTCAGCCCTTCTGATGCTCATCCCTGTAGGAGGCAGCGTGGAGCTGGTTTCTCCATGCCACAGATGGGCCAAGTTAGGTCTTCTGGCTAAGATGGGTTGAGTGATGGGTTCTCATTCACTCACTGCAGCAGGATCGGTCCTGAGAACATAGGAAGCAGGGACTCAACCCAGTGGCCAAGTGAGCTGAGCTGCTTCCCAGGGCTCAGAGCCCAGGCATGGCTGGGACAGCCCTTCCCCCCTCTGTTCCACTCTTTCTCCTGCCGTTTCTGAGAAGAGAGGTGAGAAGAGGAGAGGGCTACAGGGTCTTTGGTGCCTACTTTGACTCCCACATGTGAGGAAGGTGAGCATTAAGGCCAGGGATGGTTGGCGCTCCAAGCAGATACCTGCAATTGAGCAAGTAAGGATAACAGCTGTCATTGAGCAGCTGTGCGTGGTTAAAAGCTCAGCTGTGGAGCCAGCTGTGGAGCCAGCTGGCCTGCATTTAAATCCTAGCTCTGGTCCCTGCTGGTTGTGTGAACTGGGGCAAATTATGTAACCACTCTGAGCCTCAGTTTACTTATTGATAAAATGGGAATAGTGATAGCATCTACCACACAGAGTTATTTTGAAAAGTAGATGTACAGTGCTTAGAACAATTGCTAGCTAATAGGAAGTAAGCTGCTTTATTAAGAACTTGTCAGCTGCGCTCGGTGGCTCAGCGTGTAATCCCAGCACTTTGAGAGGCCGAGGCAAGTGGATTGCCTGAGCCCACTGGTTCGAGACCAGCCCGGGCAACTTGGCGAGACCTCATCTCTACAATAAATAAAAAAAAAATTAGCCAGGCGTGGTAGCGCTCGCCTGTAGTTCCGGCTACTTGGAAGGCTGAGGCGGAAGGATTGCCAGAGCCCAGCAGGTTGAGGCTGCGGTGGCCGAGAGGCGTGACGCTGCCCTCCAGCTTAGGTGACAGAGTGAGACTCCAACTCAAAAAAAAAAAAAAACCCAAAAAACAAGAACTTATCTTGTGCTAATCACTGGACCAAACCTTCACTTGTATTATCTTGATGAATGCCCAACTTGTCTTTGGGGCAAGTATTGCCATTATTATTATCATTTCCATCTGGTGAAGGGAGAAATTAAAGCTCAGCAGTATTAATGTGTGAGTAGCCAATCCGAGGTCCAGGCGCTGCACCCCAGTGCCGGTGCTGGTCTGTCCTGCCTCCCTGCGCATCAGGAGGTTTGGGGTATCTGTCCACAAGCTTGCCACGATGCTCTCCCATTTTGGTAGATATAAAATTTGACTCTATCCTCTGGCTGGTGTCTTTGGCGGTCTCCTACCATGGAGGTTATTTCCCCTGCCTTCAAATGGTCCTGATTCCCACCACCCCTCTCTGTTTAAATATTTAGGAACAGACATAAAATTTAATGGATTCAACATCAACACTTGCAGAGAAATGATCAGCCTGTTGGATGTATCCTTTACATATCACATTATTTTTCACGTTTGCCTGATTTTTAAAGACTCTTCCACCTTTTCCAGTGGAAGAGAGGGAAGTGTAGAAAAGGGAAAAACTGAGGGAGAATGGGCCCTTCTGGAGCAGGTCAGGAAGGATGCCTGAAGCTTCCAAGAAAAATGGATCATTTCATGGCTGCTCCTCAAAAAGCTTGATGTGATCTCCATTTCACAGGTGAAGAAAATGAGGTGTGCAGTGTTTCAGTGACTTGTTTAGAATCACATACCTTAGAGACATCATGCATGTGGCCTTGGCACCCCTCCTCTCTCCACATACTGTTCATCACAGGATTCCTCTGCTCTGCTTCACACTCACCCAACCCCTACCCTCACCCCCACCCCCTCCCTGGCTCTCCCTGTCACTATCTGATCTTTGTTTCAGAATCTTAACCTGGCCTGTGGACAGCCACTATCAACAGTTTAGAATTACCACACCAGATAAAACCTATTTGTTTCCTCTGATCTAATTTGATCCTCACTTTATATTGAAGAATGGTGTCTTAGGCCATTTGGGTTACTATCACAGAAGACCATAAACTGGGTGACTTAGAAGCAACAGAAATTTATTTCTCACCACTCTGAAGACTGAGAAGTCTGAGATCAAGGTGGTGGCAGATTTTGTGCCTGGCGAGGGCCTGCTTCCTCATACCTGTCTTCCTGTCTTCTTGCTATCACGTTACATGGTGGAAGGGATGAGGGTGTTCCCTGGGGTCCCTTTTATAAGGGCACTAATTTCATTAATGAGGGCTCCACATCCTAATTATCTCCCAAAGGCCCCACCTCCTAGTACTCTCACATTGGGATTAGGTTTCAGCATCTGAATTTTGGGGAGACACAAATACTCATTCTGTAGCAATTGGGCAGGAATTTTGGGGAGAAATGGAGAAAGTTAGTGCCTATTCTAGTGTAAGGAATGTTCTGGGTGTGAAGGTACAGAAGGTGAGTGGATGAACATCCTTTCCTTTGTGCTTTGCCTATGGTGGGTCCAGGTTACGAGTCTTCACAGTGCTGATCGGAAAGCTGATTCTTTTAAAAATTAGAGCCTTGGATGGTTCTCCACAGTTCTGGGAGGGTGCATCCATGATGAGCTCTGATCACCTTTACTGCAGGATTCCTTCCTTAACTGTGGGGTGGGAGGAACAATTTTCCTCTGCATGGTGGTCATGCAGAGTGGTCCTGGGTGGCAGAGTGTGTGTGTCGACCTCTGGGAGGGTGATCTGCCATGGAGGAAGGTGCTGTCTGTGTGGCTCAGAGCTTCAGGCAGCCCCTCCCTGCACGAGGTCGGGTCTCTTCAGCATTCCTGTCTTTCCTGCATGCTCACAGTCTAATTTGCGGGCCACAGAGCACTGGTAAGTGTTGATTCACTTTGCTGCAAATAGTTCCCTGGTTTCTGAATCCTTCTCATCAAACCCTGCCTATTGACTTCAATTTAGGTTTGAGAGTTGCTTTGAGTCTACCCACTCACTGCTCCTAGTGGTATTTGTGTCTCTCATGGCTCCAAGAGTGACTCTCTGTCATTCAGGAGTTTTTGTTCCACAGTTTAGATGGTGTGGGGCAGTGATTCTGAATCATGGTGTGTAGCAGAACTTCCTGTGGAGACCTTACAATAAATTAACAACTTTATTGAGATATCATTTATATACCATACAATGTACCCATTTAAAGTATGCCATTTAATGGTTTTTGCATATTCACAGAGTTGTGCAACTTTCATCATACAATTTAAAACATTTTTATCGCCCCCCCAAAAGAAATCCTGTACTCATATTAGCAGTCACTCCCAATTTCCCCTCAACCCCCCATCCCTAGGCAACTACCAATCTACTTTCTTTCTATAAATTTGCCTACTGTGGATATTTCATATAAATGGAATAATGTAACATGTGGTCCTTGTGACTGGACTTAGTATGTTTCAAGTACTACAGCATGGATCATGACTTTATCTCCCATGGTAAACCCCAGTCACAATCCTGGAAAGCTTGATTCAGGTCTGCAGGAAATTCTCTTTGGAACTGAGAACAGCTGGTGTTTTAGGACAAGGACTTTAGAACAGACAGAGGTCCACTATTTATTTAAGCATATAAATTTGGGAAAGTTATTAAATGCTCTGAACCTCAGTTTCTTCTCCTGGAAAATGGAATAACAGCATCTAGTTTGTGCAGCTATTGTGAGGATGAAATGAGCTACAAGTATATGGAGTACTTAGACCCAGAGTGTTAGCTTCCTTTGCACACTACTCTTCTGAAATTTGTTGGTTGCTTTATTAGTAAGGGTTTGAAGGTTGCAATACATTTAACACTCAGTGTGGATTGTTGATACAAGCACACAGACTTTCTTAAAGGCTGAGGTTTATACCTTACCCTTTTGGGTGTAAACCAGACTTTTTTGTTTGGCTGTTTAAAGGAGGTAGGAGTGATGGTTTGTTTCAGAATTCTAATCATTTGTTTACTTTTTAGAGATGGAATTTTGTTGTGTTGCCCAAGCTGGAGTACAGTGGCTATTCACAGGTGTGATCATGGCTCACTGCCACCTTGAACGCCTGGGCTCAAGTGCTCCCCCTGCCTCAGCATCCTGAGTAGCTGGTACTACAGGCACACATCACTGCCTGGCTGTTTCCAAATTTTAACATCAGTGATGTAAGATCTTGATGTTTATTGATTAGTCATGATTGGTGAGAAAAGGGTAGAGCTTCAAAGAAGCTTAACTTCATGTGGGTAAGAACAGTTCAGAACCAAATCCCCAGTGACTAATACAGTGCTCAATAAATGGTCGTGAAGTGAATATAAGTTGGACGCAGAAAATTCCACATCCCTTCCACCTGTGCTGGTTGTGTAGTGGCTGTGAGCAGACTGAGAATCCCAATCTCATGTCTCCTGATGACTTTTCCTATAACATTTTGACATTCCAACAAACTCTAATTATCTGAGTGATCGATCACAGAAATTTAAATCTGGAAGTGAATTTCCATATTACATAACTCAACCTTGTTAATAACCTAGGATAATTAGGGTGTTAATGATATTGCTGGGTGCTTGCTTCAGCAGCACATATGCTAAAATTGGAATGATACAGAGAAGATTAGGATGGCCCCTAAGAAAAATTATTATCAAAACAATGTAAATGAATATTTTAAAAATGCTGTTGTGGCCGGGCTCAGTGGCTCAGCCTGTAATTCCAGCACTTTGGGAGGCCAAGGCGAATGGATTGCCTGAGCCTGCATGTTCGAGACCCACGTGGGCAACTTGGTGAGACCACATCTCTACAATAAATCAAAAACTTGCCTGGTGTGGTAGCACAAGCCTGTAGTTCCAGCTTCTTGGAAGGCTGAGGTGGAAGGATCGCTGGAACCCAGCAGGTTGAAGTTGCGGTGGCCGGGAGCATGCCACTGCACTCCAGTCTGGGCGACAGAGTGAGACTCCAACTCAAAAAAAAAAATGCTATTATGCTATTGTTAGGAGATCTGCAGGTTCATGACTTCCCCTTTGTTCCTAGTTCTGCGCCTGGTCTCAAAGGAAGGTCTTGGTGAGCATTTGACTTTTTTTTTTTTGAGTTGGAGTCTCACTCTGTCGCCCAGATTGGAGTGCAGTGGCCGCTCCCGGCCACCACAGCCTCAACCCGAGGAGCTCCGGTGATCCTTCCACCTTAGCCTTCCAAGTATCTGGAACTACAGGCGTGTGCTACCATGCCCGGCTAATTTTTTGATTTTACTGTAGAGGTGAGGTCTCGCCAAGTTGCCCAGGTGGGTCTCAAACCTGTGGGCTCAGGCAATCCACTCACCTCGGCATCCCAAAGTGCGGGATTACAGGCTGAGCCACCGAGCCCGGCCAGCATTTAACTTTTTAATCTTTATTTGAACCCCCACTGCTCTGCTTGCGGCAGACATGGAAGTTTCACTAAGGCCTTAAGGCATTCATGCGAGATCACAAGAGAAAGAAACCCATGAGGCATGTAGGATTTGGGCTTGATCATGTTGACCTTTAACATGCCTAGAGCAACGGAACGGGTACCTTGGGACCAATGGAAGTCAAGACACTCTGGCTGAAGATCCAGAAGTATCTGGTAACTCTTCACTTCTTCTTGGGCATCCTCTGGGCTCTGGTCCCTCTTTTCGGTTCTTATCTTCCCTGACATTCATTCACGGTCTGTTTTGGACCCTAGTCTGACCACATCCCTAATCACAGTCAAAACTATCAAAACCTGGGCACATTGTTCAGGAGGAGTGTGAAGGCAATGAGAGATTCTCGTGCCAAGCCCTGCACTGAAATCCCTACCATTCAGATGGAAAAGGGGCCAGCCAGCATTGGCCAAGCCTTGATGCTTGCTCTGGAACCTTCTTGGGAGGAATCAATGGGGTCTCTTCTTGAATGTGTCCCTAGCCTTCTGAGGAAACAGGGGTAAAAAGAGGGGTATAGGGAGTTGGTTCTGGAAGGAGCCATGAACAGCTGTTAGTTTCTCTCCTGCTTTAGGAGATCTATTTGGAAACAGATTACAACCATTTGGGCACCATCGATGCCCATGAGATGAGGACGGCCTTCAAGATGGCAGGTGAGGAGACATCTGTAGACAAGGTCTTGGTATCCAGATGTGCCCATTTAAAAAAGTTATTCTCTGCCAGGCTCAGTGGCTCAGCCTATAATCCCAGCACTTTGGGAGGCTGAGGTGAGTGGATTGCCTGAACCCGCGGGTTCAAGATCAGCCTGGCCAACTTGGCAAGACCGCGTCTCCACAATAAATACATAAAATTAGCCAGACATGGTAGCACGCACCTGTAGTTCCAGTTACTTAGAAGACTGAGGTGAAAGGATCGCCGGAGCCCAGCAGGTTGATGCTGGGGTGGCTGTAAGTGTACCACTGCACACCAGCCTAGGTAACAGAGTGAGACTCCAACTCAAAAAAAAAAGTTATTCTCTTTGTGATCATTGCTAATGAGCATTATTGGTAGTTGTGTTGGCTATGAAGGTGATAACCAAATCTTGTTGAGTACCTTCCTTATCCAGGAAAGAGCGAATGTTGCTGGAATCTGTATAGCATAAAACTTGAGAATTTTTCCAGGAACTCTGCCCATTACTGGGAAGATGAGAATTATAGCAGATGGGGCCATGAAGGAGACAGACAGGGGACTGGCTAAATAGGCAGCCCCCTCACCTTCTCTGCTTTCACTTGCTGTGGCTAATGTGATATGTAGCTTAGTTAGTGCTGGACTTAGTGCTGAACCAGGGATGAGGCTAATTCTGGTGAAGAGTGTCTAAGGGGAGATGGATGATTGAAGGACACCTGCTGAGGTCCCCTGGAGTAGATAGAGTCAGGCCTGGTTTGCAGATTTCTGCAGAACCGCAAAGGAGGCCCCTACAATATCAGCCCCTTGAGACAGTGCTAGGTCCTCCCCTCCACCTGTGACCCAGGACTCCTCTGCCCTCAGGTTTCACCCTCAACAACCAGGTGCAGCAGACCATTGCCCTGCGCTATGCCTGCAGCAAACTTGGCATTGACTTTGACAGCTTTGTGGCTTGTATGATCCGTCTGGAGACCCTCTTCAGTGAGTCACTCTCTCCACTAACTCTATTCCATTTCTCCCAAGGTGCAAAGAGTGGCAGGGAGCAGGGCCCAGGGGAAGAACCAGGCATTGCCTTTGGGAGACCAGGAGGCCCAAGAAACCATATGGGGTTTCTGTGACTGGGGCATCCTTGGGAAGCAGAACTGAAGGGGCTAAGGAAGTCCAGGCTGGCTGGACCCAAGGTCACAGGATGCCTTTTCTTGGAGACTTAAAAAGCTGCCCTCCAGGTGACTGTGAACTCAAAATGTACAGTCACGAGGCCAAGATGAACGAGTCCCAGTAATGGTCCTTAGATGACTTTTAGTGTCAATCCATGGGGATCATTATTAGAAACATGTGTCACCTTCCAGCGAGGGGATGGGTGTCCCCCTCTGGATGGCAGTAAGTCTTCTCCTGCCACGTTGGGCCTTGGGATCTGATATCTTATTGAGGGAGGGGGTTTCCCTTCCATCGAGGGAAGGTAGGTGAGTAATTTAGAATGGGTAAAGGTCAGTTAGCTAGAGACAAAGCTAAGGGACCAGATAACCCACAAGCTGGGCAGCCACTGTCTGTTCCATAACTCTACCCCCAATGAAATAATTGCAGGTTTCTGACATGAAGCTTCTGAGGGTGCAGATACCAAAGGGACTATCTCTGCTGGCAACTGGGTTTGTCCCTTTGGGCAGGGGGACATCTATTGCCAAAAAAGCTCACCCTGGGCACTGGGACTGTATCTAGCTTTTCGAAGTCCCTGGGGCAAGGTGGATGCTAGAGGGGAGGCTGTGTAGGGAAAAGGAGAGGTCTCCAGGTGGGAGGGGGTGACAAAGGCAGCTCTCTGACTGTTCAAAAGCCCAGGAGCCATCCTATCTGACTTCATTCCTTCTCTGGCATTTCAGAACTGTTCAAGCTTCTGGACAAGGACCAGGATGGCACCGTCCAGCTCTCACTGGCTGAGGTAAATGTCCTGAGGTTTGATGAACTGCTTGCTGATGGTACTTTAAAATTCTTGGACAGTATAGGTGCTGAGTGGTATTTATTCCTATTGACTGCCTTCATTCTATGTGAATTCCATGCATATTCTGGGGCAGGCAATGGGGGGAGAAGGAGGTTGTCTGTTACGCAGTTTTCCAAACATTGTTATTGATTATTATTATCTTAAAGATAAAACTACTGCCGGGCTTGGTGGCTCAGCCTGTAATCCTGTGCCTTTGGGAGGCTGAGGTGAGTG